ACACACCACGTGTCTTCATATCACCAATTTATATTTTCATTTTGAAAGTTGTCTCCTTTAAAATTTAAACCTATGACCTCCTCCTTTTGTGTCTAACTATTTTCCCACTAATTGGAATGAACCTACAATCTATTATTGCATAATTAAATATATATATATATATATATTATTAAAATATACAAACACACATATATATTAAATATTAAATATTATAAAATATCATTACTATCCTTAAATACTTTAATTTAATTCTTTTAATTTATAAATTATAAGTTATACTATTTATTTTGTTTAAAGTAAACTATAAATATAATTGATACAATATCATTTGCATTATTTATTTTAATTTTTTTTACTTCTTGAGGTTGTCATTTATTTCAATATTCATATTTATAATTATAATATAAAAAATATCTAAGAATAAATGGTAAAAATATTAATGATTATACATTAATTTATAATTATTTATATTTCTAAACTGCATCAAGTTTTAGAGTTACTGGTGTTAATTGTACAATTTGAATTAAAAAATTAGATTAAATGAAATATCATTCTATTAATGAATAACAAGTAGTGTTATTGACTTCTACGTTGATCCGATGGCTTATGCTTTCTCTCTCTTCTCTTCTATCTTGAATATTTAAAATTTTTTACTTATTAGTTATAATTTTAAATTTAATTTTTTTTGTTATTAATTAGTCAAAAATATATATATTAAAAATTTCATACTTATTTTGGCCATTAAAATCTCAACTGGCTTTTGAATAAAATTATCCAAATAAATTTTAATTTATCTAACTAACTTCTAAAGACAAAACATATCCAAACAAAAATTATATTATATTTACTGACTTTTTTCCAACCTTAATTTGTTAACCTCAGTTAAATCTTAACCTCAGTTGTAAATTTTTTTAATCCAAACACAAATGTAAAATAATATGGTTTGGTTTAATTCATTACTTTAGCTCATTAACATTAAATAATACCTTAACCTTATCTTAAAGTTACAATTTAACCATAGAATATATTAAATGAAAACTCATTATGTTATTTTATATATTCATTATAAAATTACAATAATACAACAAAATTAATGTCTTAAAATGTTAAATATTAGATTAATAAAAATAAAAAATTATGATGATCATACAAAATTAAACTTTCAGCGACGACATTCAAAATCACCGCTAAAAGTCTCATTTTCAATGGCAACACTAAAAAATTGCCGCTAATTCTTAATTTTTAACGGTGACTTATATGTTGCCGTTGAAACTTATAACATAGGTTTTTTTAAAAAGTTATAATATATTTTAAAATATGTTGACAATTTATGACAACTCTAAAAAGTTACCGTTAATTGTCAATTTTCAATAGTGACTTATATGTCACCGCTGAAACTTATAACATAAGTTTTTTTAAAAGTTATAACATAGTTTAAAATATGTTGACAATCAATGGTGACTCTAAAAAATTGTTGCTGATTGTCAACTTGTAGTAGCGATTTATATGTCACCGTTGAAACTTAGACTTTCAGCGACGACATGCACTTGTCACTGCTAAAAGTTTAACAATCAACGGCAACTATATCTTGTCATTATTTCAGGGGTAACTTCAAATGTTACGTAGAAAGTCATACTTTTAGCGACGACTTTTACTATCGCTGCAAATTGTTTGTTTTCAGCGGCAACTTTTTAGAATTACCGCTGAAAGTTGCTACTGAAAGTCATTTTTTTATAGTAGGGTTAGAGGAGAGAAGTGTCATGTGGATAGCTTGCATGGCAGATAACAGTCAAATTTTTCAAGTTAATGGTCAACACAATCAAACCCTAACAGTAGGGCGAGATTGTACCTGAATTAAAAACTTTAGGGGTGAAATTACACTAAAATAGTTTAGGATATGAGATATGCTTGGAGGGAAACATTAAGGGCATTTTTGTACCTTAATTCTTTATGAAATAATATTAAAGAAGATAATATAATAGGAAGGATAATATTAAAAATATATAATTAATGAAATATTAATTTTGTTAAAGTATTTTATATTTTGAATATCGAATCTCCCCAAAAAGTATTTTATAATTTGGGATGGTGAGAGTATCATTTAAGTTTTTTAATTGCTCTTTTTTATTTTTTGACCAGCAAAACAATGAAATTAAATGTTTTCCTCAAATCCAAGGGTGATAACAAATTTGGAAATGCCATTATAACATTATTACATTATGCGACCGAGGTTATAACCTTGATTTCGTGGTAGTGGGTATGAATAATTATTTTAGAAATGGACAAGACCTGATGGAAATGTAAAATAGAAATACATGAAATGACGAATAAAAATGAAAAAAAAAAAGATAATACTTTCTCCATAGGGCAAGTTATAATGAGATTCAAAACTTGCATGTTTTTCTTCCTCTGCCATACGCACGCTTATCAGAAACATGATTACTACATTATAGAAGCCCATAAATATAATGTCATAAATGGTCTGTGTTATTAAGGGGATTTGGGAAACAGAGAAAACAATAATTCATTGTCGCGTATAAATGTGTGTGTGAGAGAGAGAGAGAGAGAGAGAGAGAGAGAGAGAGAGAGTACATTAATATGGAGAAAGTGAAACTGAACTAGTCAAGGCTCTATGATAAGTTGGATATATACTGTTGTATTGAATGCCTCTTAGGGTTTAGCCTTTGATGAGAGGCTCGTGCCGTAACGTGGGGCCTAATTGGATGGTCGAAGGTGGGAGGGTGAAGGTATCCATAATCAAACAAGCATGTTAGTTTGCTGTCTGTATGGTGAGCTTTTACTGCCAATTTTCTATTCTTTTGGCCTCTTCTTTAGACTATTTTCTTATTCTCAATAATTGCTCACTCATCAATTCCACTTTCACTCCTGTTCACCATCTTGGACCACTGTAATTCCCATGTTACCCCCAATTCATTTCCGTAATGACATTCCTTCTGTTTAGTACACTGTTTATGCTAAGCCTGAGCCTCCGTTCATGATCTTTGATTCTGGTGGAAAGTTTTGTTCTGCCAATTTCAAACTTTAAGAATTATCTCATCTCGACCCACAAAAATTAAATTAGTTAAAAATGACTCGATTTTTTTTTAAAAAAACTGTTATATGTATTAATATAAACTGCACAGCTTTTGGCGTATTTTAAGGAGTACGAAAAATAATTTGTACTCCTCCCATCCCAAATTATAAAATATTTTTGAATAAAATCTCACGTATCAATAAATATAACTAAGTATACTTAACAACCTTATTTTTTCAAAAAAAATATAAACTTTTAAAAATACTATCCATTTAATATATTAAAAAGAGAGAGTGACATAAATTAAATAAAGAGATAAAGAGATAAAAAGATAAAATAAGCATATTTAATGAAACATTAATATTCTCAAAGTATCTTATATTTTGGGATACCAACTCTCTCTCAAAAATGTTTTATAATTTCAAGAATGGTAGTATCAGTCATGGTTTATGAATAATGTTTTTTTATAAATTCTATAATTTAAATTTATTCTAATAGAATTATATTCATATTGATTGATATATTTTGTTCTAAAGTATAGTAAAATTTTGGAAATAAATAATTCAAATAATTTCAATGAGAAAGAAAAAAATGAAAAAATGACAACTAAAAACCTTATAAGACCATTAATTATAATTAGGGACTTTGAATTATTGAAATCTCAAAAATGAATCATTGTCCTTACTTGAAATTAAAAATATATATGAGCTCACAAAATTGCACATCTCATTTGAAAAAAATCAAGAAAAGACACTACTGAAATTACTATTATAAAGTTAGAAAAAATAGGATCAATATTTGAAAATAAGATTAACAATAGTCCTAACCCATAATAGTAATTTTAGTAGTCTTATCCCATAATAGTTGGGATTCTAGTTTTCTCAATTGAAAATAACAATAGTCTCAACCTGTGATAGTAATTTCAATCTTGCCTTTTTTTTTTTATTTTTTAAGTGATTTACCTATATATTGACAAACATAAAAATTCACAAATAATTGGTTTCATATTCAGAATTAATTTTACTAAATTTCTAAGTGATTATTTTATATTTACAAGTACCTTTCAAAAGTTTCACAAGTGAATTTTAATTTCATATTGAAAAATAACATATTTTCAAACATGGATCCTGGTTTTTCTGACTAAAATTAATAATAATTTTAACTCATAATAGTAATTTTAGTAGCGTGTTTTTTTTTATTTTTCAAGTGAGACTTAAGGGCAATTTTGTAAACTCATCATGTTCTTAATTGCAAGTAAAGACCATGATCCATTATTAAAATTTTAATAATTTGTGGTTCCTAATTATAATTCATGGTTTGGGGTCCTTAATTGTCATTTCTCAAAAATAATTTCTATATCAGACAAAATAAAAGAAATCTTTTCTGGTAATGCTGGGGATACTGGGATAGGATGGTAAATGGATCAGGCCCGTCGGTGTGTACTCGATTGTGGGCTTCGAACGATATATTTTCATTGGGTTTAGTTTTTGGAATTTGGGAAATATTCTTTAACCCAGAAATAAAAGGAGCTGAACGCTTTATTTATTTATTTATTTTTTCAGATGCTTATTTTGCTGGAGTTTTTTTTGGCTACTTTTGCTAGAGCCATATGTAATTATATTAAAAATTAAATGTAAATATTAGTTTTTTGAATTTACTTTTACCAAAATCTTAAACACATGTTTATAAATTATAAAAAAAATGAGGGACCAAGACAATAATAATTCCCTGGTTACACCCACTTGCCGATGTTACTTGCAAGGTCAAAATATTGATGACACCTGACATGCATATAAAAAAATATTGAAGCAAGATGAATATGATTCATTTTTTAATTCCATTACAACTCAACTGATAAAGAGAAAATATTAGCACTACTAACTTGAGGGCATGAATTTAGCTTTTTCAAGTATATTCTTCACAATTCTAAGAGTTCTTCTCTTATCTCTAACAAAAATAGTTCATGTTATACAATATGTGCCTCATTAGACACACCAGTCCTGGTGTGTTGATTTTGTCTCCCAAACACCATTTCTTCATGCCCATATTGCTTCACAACAAGTAGTGAAGAAAGCGAAGAGTTTGATGCCACTATGTCTCCTATAACTCCAAGTTCTGGATTGTCACACCATTCCATAAAACTTGAAAACACTATTGTGTTCCTACCATTTCCTTGTCCAGATATGCACAGATCACACTCTACTTTGTCCAATTCTTGTAGCAATGCAATTAACTCCTCCCCGTTATGAACTTCCTCCTCTGAGTATGTTACAGATTCGTTGTTATACACTGCCTTGAATCTAAATGAATCCATATACTCTTCATCCAAAGCTTGTTGCCTCTCATCATCCACTCTTGTTGATGAAGGCCATTGAGTATCATCATTCCTGGTTGATATACCAGCTTCTGCAGCTTCACTAACTAGAACAATCCGCACCACAGAGAGTGTGTTCCCTAGATTCCCAATCCCAACCATCCTCCAAGCAACGGCCAAGGCTTCACGATCATCAGGTCCTCCAACAAAGAGCATCACTATGCGTAAGTTGGTCTTAGATATCGATCCGAGACCACGGTCAACAAGGAGTGCCACAGAACATGGCGCATGCTGAATAACCTTAAGGTTTATGTCTTTGTAGGCTTCGTCAGTTGCCTCTGTTCGACCGCCTATTACCCCATTTTGTTTTTGAAAAGGAAGGAGAATTAAGGACGTTCGATTTTGCTCTGCTAAGTTGTGTATATCCTCGTAAATGGTTTCATAAGCAGACATAGCATGCAAGTTCTCGACTCTAATAGCGTTATTTTCCTCTTGTAAAGTGTTGAAGGTATTGGTAATACTCTTTAACTTTGGTTGTGATTGTATGGAATCTGGTGATCCAGAATGGGTTGGTTGCTCCATCTGATCAACCAAAAGAGTAGTGGCCACAACTGCACGTCCAATGAGTTCAACAAGGTGAACTCCGAACACTCGCAGAGGAGAAATTCTGTTAGCATTGAAAGTTTTTAAGAGGTTGGCCATGCAAGTAGCTTGGTGAATATTGTGGACGCAGCTTAGAATTCGAAGCTCGGCGTGATTCTTTAACATTTCAATAGTCCTTAGCTTGAAATTCTCGAATTTTTTTCTTGGTTTGTACATGAAGTTAATGAAAAGAGGTGCCATGATATTCATCACAAGAACTGCAAACACCATGATTGTATAGAGCACCACAGAAAAAATCTACACACCACAACCGATTTGATGATTAGTAATATAGTAACTAGACCTAGCAATTATAAGCTAACTGGTATATAAAAAGGGCATAGTTAGTGTGAATATTGATTAAAGAATTAACAAATCGTACATACCTTTCTGTCCAAAGCCAGGTTTAGTATTATTAGTGCCAAGGCCCCTTTGGAGTTGAGAAGCAGTCCCATGCCAATACTATCTTGAGTGGGCAATTCAAAGAAGAAGGTGGCAATTAGAGTGCTTAAAACTTTTGGAATGGATAACAATAGGATAACTACGACCATCAAGGGCCAATATTTTTGATGTGCAAGTTCCATCAAGTTCACATTCAAGCCAATGCGAAAGAAGAAGAAAGGTGATATGGCTCCAGAAACAAAGTTGTCTAGTGTTCCCATCACCAAGTCGGTGAATCTCCCATTTGGTAAGATCAGTCCATACACAAAAGACCCGACAGCAGGGTGGGTTCCGAGGAAATCTGTAACATATGAACAAACAAAAGCTCCTAACAGTAGAAATGCCAATGCAGAATTGTTCTGCTTATCTGGATGGGTGTTTTGATCGATGTATTTTGTTATGAAAGGACGTAGCACGAAGATGCAAAAAAGGATGAACATCATTGTACTCAACACCGACAAGATTGCCTCTGCCGCAACGTCTCTAGAAAATGGAATTAATGCTATAAAAAGAACCCAACCATAAGTCTCGCTAAACAAGGCTGCTCTTAGGGTAGCTTTGCCTAGCTTAGTATAAAGAAGCTTGAGATCAGTGAGGATCCGAGCAAGCAGTGGAAAACTCGAGATAGGCAGAGCTAAACACCAAAACAAATAAGCTTTTCTCATATACATGTCATCTTCTTGAAAACTCCAGTTTGGAGGCATTTCGTAAACTTTTTGTATCAAAGCAAAGAGGCCTATTCCCATTGCCGTTGGAATGATCATGCCAAGAAGGGCGATGCCTGCATCGTTCTTTCCAACTTGTAAGATGGTATCCAAATTCATTTCTAATCCACTAAGGAAGACGTAGCCCATGATCCCGAAATTTGTGTATGTTTCAAGATTTAGAATTCCTCTAGCAGGCAGAAATATGTCCACTAAATTGTCATCTACAGCAATAACAAGGCTTAGAAAGAACCCAGCCTGCATGCCCATAAATTTACATGCATAAGCATCATCAACAATATTGAAAAAGTGAAACACCAGTATGTTATTGTATCAAAAAAAAAAAAAAAACCCTCTGTTCATAAAATTAAAGCATGCACTTACGAGAATCTGAGCTACAATACGAGGCTGATGAAGGGGTTTGAGGATGGTGTGGAAAAGGTTGGTAATGAAGATGCAGAAGGTGATTTGGATACCCAAAAGTGGGGCATGTTTGTTGAGGATGTCATAATCAGTTTTCCATATCTCATTGGGATTACTTACTTCAACAACGTAGCAGGGGTTTGGGATCAGCTGCGCCATTGAGTTGTGGGTTTTTGTTTTTTTGGTCTTTTTTCTTCTTCTGATTAACCTCTGTGAGACTAATAAAATGGATGGAACGTGACTAATATATAGTGATATCCAGAGACCTCGTTTGGGATGTAACTTCAAAGAATAAAAGCGAAGAGAAAAGTAGTTTGTTAATTACAACAAATATATGACTGATATAGTGATATCCGTACCTCGTTTGTGGTGGCATCTGTTACTTATTGAGCAGTTTTTAATTGTGTCGCCCTCGGTTATGTTGCCATTTTTCTCCTCTTTCCACCCCCAAGAAATCAAGATTACAACAAATTCCTGATTGAATCGGTTAAATTTGATCTTTTATACCAACTAATAACGAGAGATTTTTCTTGCCTCTGTAACCAAAAATGGAAATTTCTCGCTGCCTTACATGCAGAGTGAAATATATATAATTTTTCTAATTTTGAACAGTCAACTTGCGTGAATTTACTGTATTAACCTGGACAAGTTATCGGCCGATTTTTTTTTTCTTAAAAAGGATTTAACAAACTTTGATGGCAGACTTGAACCATTTAAAAGCATTTTTTTTCTATATTTAGGAATGAATTTTTGAAGTTGACAACAAATATGCAACATGCACAAAGAATAGCAATCCGAGAAGTATTTGTCAAGGTTTTTAAGGTTTTGTTATTTTCCTAGTCTCCCAAAGATTTAAAATGGACTACATTTCTCCGCGAAAAAGAGGTCTATATTTAGGAGCTTCAAATGTAAGAGAGTATAAAAAAATGATGTGACATTTTTAAAATATGAACCGATGTAACGTGGGGAAAAGGTCAAAAAACAACAACTGATGAATTTTGTTTTGAGAAAAGTTCACCACTATATAATTTTAATAAGAATCAAAATATTTTGTATATGATTGATTCTTAATCTTGTTTGGTCATGATCGAAACATCTAAGTTTGATTTCTTTTATAGTTGCCATTGCTCAATGTCTAAATATTTGTTCCCAGGCGAATGGGTGCAGGTTTTCCCGGGAGAAGATAGAGAATCCATGCCTTTGAGCTTAGCAACAAACGATACAAAAATTTAAATACCATTAAAGACAAATTAAATTTTAAAATAGATTCTGGCCCTGCATGAGAAACTTGTGATTTAAAAGTAGAAGGGTTAGTGATAAATGACATCATATCTAATATGAGTGCATGTTGATACCACAACTTCGGCCCGATCACTCTATTTTTACTTTTTATCTTTTCCCCATTGCTTCATGCACTTCATACAGGATTCAACATTGGTGATCTTATGAAGAAATGGAACTAATAAATAAATATTTTTTTCATGCCTGAAAAATATATCCATTTTGCCAAAGCATAGTTTGCAACCATATATTATTTTGGATCATCGATTACTTTTATTATGATTAAATTAGTAATCATTAAAATTCATAGACTCCCTCCATTAAAAAATATAAAATATTTTTTGAGGAGTTAGATGTTAAAAAATGTAAAACATTTTTGATTTTTCGAAGTGTAATCATTGCTTTTTTTTTTTCAAAAGTGCCATAATTGATAATGACTTTATATTTATTGTAGGGTATTTGATAGAGGTAAATTTGAAAAAATAAGGTTAATTGAAAATTAAGTAACTACTTTATTGAAAGGTGATATTCGGTTAAAAATACCTTACATTTTTAAATAAAAGGAGTATATCAATATAAAAGTATAAGGAATATTGAAATGAAAATCTAAATATTGTTTGATAGTCATTTTATAATTTTACCAAAAAAAATTAAAATATTTTATAAATCATGAATAATCAAGCGTTCAGGGTCTATAGTAAATTTCTCATGAGTATAGTCGTCTCATTCAGGAAAAAAGTGGAGATAAAAATTTGTATATTGAAACAAAGAGTTTTTCTTTTTGTTTTTTTTTGTTTTTGTTTTTGGGGGGGGGGAATAAAATGGTCAAAGTATTTTCCAAATCACTATTCCTAATTATTGCATTTGAAGTTTTGTCTTATTCTTCAATTTCTCGCTTGCTGCTCTGGATCCAGATGTTTTGTTTTCACACCATGTGGATCCCACGTCAACGCATTAAAATGAGTGACCAGATCAAAGGATTTTCGATTGATTATTCAACTGGTAATTTTTTTTTTTCAGGTCAATCAAAGAGAATCAGCGGCCAATTAATTAGATTTTGCAACATACATAGCCTTGGCTTTTGTATTGATGAAACAAAGGTCTTTCCAATGGCATCTAAAAATTGAATCTTTCAGGGCCTTTATAGTTTCTTGAGAACCACAACAAAATTGATAGGCTTGATATCCTGCTTCACCATTTCTTCATCAACCAGTGCAGCATACTCCTCAAACAAAGCATCCAAAATGGCTTCTCCGAAGTGATTGCTTATCATTGATTCTTGTATGGCCCTCACTGTGTTGGCAACTACACTGCCATAGCTCCCCTGAACTTGCTCATTTCTATCTATCTCAGACATCTCTATCCTCTCCAACTCAAACGACCCTTCTTTCCTCACTTGTTCTTCTATCTCTTCCCTCGATGCTGCGTAGAAATGCACATCATACGAATCAAGCTTCTCCTCTTCTACTTCTCCCTTCGATTCATATATGCAAGTTAGTTTCAAGTTGCAGAAATAGTTCTATATATTGGAATCAAGCACTGATATTAGATATATATTTTAGCAACCTTGGAGGCCAGGTTGGCAAAGGAACGCGTTAGGATTTCCCAGAAGAAAGAGTTGCCTCTGTCAACATGTTCAGGTCCTCTTCTTCCCAGAAAGATGAGCACCATTCTTCCCCCCACCACCAGCTCCTCAGACCTTGATCTTAGGAACAAGGAAAAGTCCTCCTGGAATTGCTTATAGTACGCTTCAGCCACCATTGCAGGGCTCGATTCTGTAATGTAAACGCTTCCCTTGTTCACAGGCCTCCCCTGCTCGTCATAAAGCCCTGGAGGAACCTGCATATTCAAACACTTGAATGAAGATATAATGAAAGATCATTCATTCATGTTGATCAGTCTCGTCTGGGCTTAATTACCCTGGAAAGCCAGTGCAAGCAGTGAGAGGAATGGACGAAGTGCAAGCAAGTGTTGGGGAAGAGTCTTCCATAGAAGGAGCCGGGGTAAGCTCCCATGAAAATGGAAGGGAAGTGAGAGTCATCAATCCTGAGTTGCCTGTGGAAATCAGGGAGGGCCTTGAAGATTGAGTTGAAGTCATTTGTGGGAAGGTCGTTGAGGTAGACTCTGAACTCAGAGGCAGGTGGGGGCGGCTGCAGGATCTTGTGGCTCTTGATGAGACCTTGGATGGCTACAAAGATGTCTTTGATAATGGACAGAGTGTTGGGTCCAGAGGAACAGCCCAAGTCAGCAATTCCAAAGCTGGTTGGAGTGGTTGCAAGGTAAAGCTCTTCAACTGTATCTATGATTATGTGCTTCACCTTATCAGATGCCTTCTTCTGTGCAAATTCAAAAAGGGATACATATACGTGCAAAATAAATACGAAACTAGGAACAGTTTGTGTTGGAAATCAAATTTTATTTGCACAAGAGAGGGAAAGAGAGAGAACCTGAAGTGAGGAATTCTTGGCGTAGCTAGTGTTGCCAATTCCTCCAGTCATGTGGAAGACTTTCTCTATGTCCATTTTGGCTGGAGTATGCCTCCATCAGCTGAGTGAAGCTATAGTCTCCTTTTATAGCCGCACTTCGGTAATGTGGCTTTAGGTTCTCATTATATTATAATATATGATTTATGTTGACTTTGTTTAGATTTCTTTTGCTTAGTTTGTCACAACTGACAATGATTTTTCTTCTCTTAAGTGCTTCATTGCAATTTAATCTTATAAAATAATTTTGTGGGCAAGTTGAATTGTTGTAAAATCTCTATTTTTTATTTTTATCTTTTGACAAGTGCAACGCACCCCTAAAAGAATATGATATTCAAATAAAATTGAATCTAACAAAATTTTGGCAAAGTATTAAAAATTTGACCAGTAATTGAACCAATCAATAATCCAACTATAGTTGAAAAGGAGCTAACCTAGTTATGATAAAAATATAATTTAATTAAAATATTCATATATATATATATATATATATACCTTGAAAAGAATAATATTTAAGTGAAAAAGTATTAAGCCACGAGTAAATAAAACATTCATGTATAAATCACGTGTAATCTAACATGATAGAGTTACTAAAGGTAAGGGGAAAATCTAATGAACGGATATTTTTCCTTATTTTTTTAACTCAAAATGATGTTGTTAATTACGATCATCCGCTCCCGTGGGGGAGATTCCCCCTGATCCACTCGTTCAAAATTCTTTGCTTCAGTTGATTAGAGGACTGGTTTATTGATCCACTAATCTGACCGGCCAACCTAAGTTAGGTTTTAATACCATGAGTTTTAGCCTAAGAAAATTATAGTCTATATTACTAAAAAAAATTATTTATAAAATATTTTTGATTAATTTAAAAAATGATAAAAGAAGGAACTAAATTGAATAACTTGAAAATATGTAAAAATGAATACTTCTTCCATTAAAAAATATAAGGCATTTTTTAAAAGGTTGGATATTAAAAAATATAAGGCATTTTTAGTTTTTTAAGATGTAATCATTACCTTTTCCCCCCAAAAAGTACTTATATTAAATAAATTATTTTATATTTATTTTAGGGTCAAACACCCTATTAAATTGGGATAAATATGAAAAGATATAGTTAGTTTGAAAATAAGTAATTATTTTAGTAAAGAGGTGAGATTCGATTAAAAATACCTTACATTTTTTAACAAATGAAGTACTTAATTATCTTGACTAAACACCAGTAGGAGTGGAAGTAGACCAAGCCTCTATTAGGAGCCTACTATTTGGTCTACTTCATATCTAGCCTAACCTAGAGCTAAGAATATAAGTCAAATTATAGTGATTGGCCTGAATAATCAATTATAAAGGCTAGGTTATGTTGGAAAAAAAAATTAACTTTAAAAGACGTGTTTTTCTTGGCTTAGACTAAATAAGTTGTGAATCATATGGGCTAACTTTGATAAGTTAGGATTGACCTATTTAATACATATTATTTTTCAAGAAAATAAAAAATGAAGGAAAAAATGTGACAAATGACTGATTCATACCTTTTAAACCTAAACTATTTACTAAATAGGTTCAAGCTAGACTTTGACATTTTATTACACCTATTTAATTAAATAGGTCAGGCATATTTTTACAAGATATAACCTACAAGTTTAATAGGTCTGCCTCTGTGTGTGTGTGTGTGTGTGTGTGTGTGTGTGTGTGTGTGTGTGTGTGTGTGTGTGTGTGTGTGTGTGTTAGGGAGAATTTCATTTAAGGGCACAGTAGCTACTTAATTATAGGTAAGTCCAAAATTTTTTTGAAATTTCATTTTAGTCCAAAGGAAAAAAGTCAAAGGAATTTGAACAGTGAAAAGATTAAAATACCCTTCACTTGTTATGCAGAATCACTAGTTGTTAATTTTTTTATTTCACTTGTTAACTTATTAATATGGGTTGCAAATTACATAAGTTGATATATCAATAATTATATAAGACTTAGTATCAATTATTCAACTATAAGTAACAACATAAGTTATTAAATTGCTAACTTTATTCATTAATTTTCTAACCTTAGCTTTAAATTACTGATAGGTTTTGTAATTTACTAACATCATTTATAAGTTACTGACAAATCTTGTAATTTACAACTGATGTTAGTAAATTAACAAGTAAAATTAATAAATTAACAACAGAGTTACTAATGTCTAACAAATGAATGTAATTTATAAGTGATATTGATAACTTAACAAGTAAAGTAAGAGAATTAATAACAAGTGATTTTGAATAACAAATGAAGGGTATTTTAATCTTTTTATCATAAATTTTTTTTTGACTTTTCTTTTCTGAACTGAACTAAAATTTTAAAATTTTTCTAGATCCACATGAAATTATGTAGTTACCATGGTCCTTAATTGAAATTCTCCCTATATATTATGTAATATATTATACATAGATCAATTTCATATTTGATTTTCAATCAATCCATTCTTTTTTATTTTTAGTTATGTTTTTAATTAAATTAGACTTATGTATTGATTTTAATGTTGTTATTTTATTGTTATATTATAGTGGGTAAGTGCTCTTAATTATTATATATTATATTGTTATTATAAAATCATGTTTTTTGTGTGTGTAGACTTTAATAGTCCTAAAATATATTTGAGATTTGATTACTTAAAAGTACTTTTAAGTAAGCTTTTAAATATGCTTTCAGATTAGGATAGGTTTTAATTACACTGATGCCTAATTTGTTAAAAAAATAAAAAAAAAAACCTCATACAAGTTTCAAATTAGACTCAAATCTTTGATTTATTATACAGGCTCAGACTAACTTGACCAAAACTTACCTTACCTAACTTATTTCCATCCCTAAACAGTAATAATGAGATAATTTTAAATTCAAGGGAGGTGAACTAAAAAAAGGTTTATATTGATTTGTAACAAGACTCAACACACTTCAGGAATTGATAATTACATGACCATTGAAGTTGCTTAGGATATATATCTGAGAGCGATTGGCCGTTCTTTTGGACTTTTGGTCGTTAGCCTGCTCCATAAACTCAGCATCTTGTTGGAAACTACTCCACATCAATATTAATAATTAATATCAATATATATATATATATATATGTAAATGTATTATTCATAAATTGTGAACACTGAAACTTATGGATGCCTTTGTTACTATTTGAAATTGTTCATGATAAAATGAATTGAGAATCAAAGGAAAATTTCAACGATGAAATAGACAATCAGCATCAATCTTGAAAGAGGATGAATTGCTACATACGGAACCACAGTAACAGTACTACAAGAACACAATGCACGGAGCTTAGTTACACGGCAAAGTGTCATTGAGTGGGGTTCCAAGTGGAGGCAACAAGCACAACAGAAATAAAAGCAGCTTTGATGTTTAAATTGTTCCTTTGATGTTTCTCTCTTTTTCCTCTTTTCCTCCACCTCAGTCATTTTGCTCTCTCCTTTTTCCTATTCTGGCTCTCGTCCTCCTTCCATTGTCTGTCGCTTCAAGATTTCATGATAGCAAAACGAACCAAGATATTGTTCTCTTTCTCTTTCAACTGCTTATTGATGGCCAGCCATAAGTTTTTGTAACTAGTGGAAATGTACCCTGAAATCTGATAACTTAATGCCTACATTGGATGCTTTTACTTTCTAAGTCATTTTGTAAATTTTATTCCAACAACTTAATTATATTTATTGTTATTGTTACTTTTTTAAAATTGACAGTAGAAAGACTACTATATCATCTAATCTGTTTCTTTCAAAGTAATATCTATATCAAATGTTTTTTAAACAGAAAGACGATCTTAATTATAACCCTGTAAATATAATTTAAATAATAAAGATTAAAGATGAATACTGTTTATATAGAGATAAATTTTTGGGAGAATTTCAATAAAGATTCTTTGATCATATTTATTTAAATTCAAAACTCCTAATTGCAATTCAAAGGTATTGATTATTTGATATTAAATTTATGAGGAAAATGATAAAATTGCCTTTCATTTAAATTAATATTAGATTTTCTTATTTGCTTATTAATTGTCCTACTTCACTTATTCATTTACTTACGAAATATTGTTAATTGTCCTATTTCACTTGTTCATTTTTCTGAAATGAAATTAAGTAAAAGTTTAATAATGAACAAGTAAAGTAAGGTAATGAATATCTGTCCGTAAGTAAATAAACAACATACACTATAGAAATTAATAAATTATCTTAAGATGATTTAAATACATAAAATAAAAATAAGTTAAGTAAGATAATTAACAACATTCCTTAAATAAATTAACAAGTAAAGTGGGATAATAAACAAGTGAAGTTGAGAAGTTCTGATATTAATTTAAATGAGGAGTAATTTTATTATTTTTCTCAAAAATTTAATATCAAATTAATATTCTTGACTACAGTGTAATTTTAAAAATTTAAGAACTTTAAATTTAAATAAATGTGATTAAGGGATTTTTATTAACATTCTCCCTGTATTTTTGTTCTTCTATGGTTGCTTTAAATCCCCTTCCGCCTGTTCATCATCGGTCATCAGTGACAGTGGTTCGTGCTGTCTTGGGATCATAACAACGAGTGTGCGTGTGTGTAGGGTGCACAAAGGATAAGGCGCATTGAATTTCAACCTAACTTAAAATTTAATTTTTTTTATAAAAATGATTGAATTAATAACTCATAATTTAATCTTGTCCAGTAATAATTTAAAGAATAATAGAATTATACTTGATCTATATAATTGAAAGATTGATCTTACTAATTTACTACTCACTTAGCTTTTTTTTTTTTCCTTCTATGAGAGGTAATAATACATTTCAACCAAATAAACTTAATTAAGATAGTAAAAATATTTATAATAATAATAATAATAGAAAATTCATAATAATTTCAAACAAAAAAATATTTTTATTATAATTCAAATGATTTAAATTTATAACTTTAATAAAAATAGCACTCAATAAATTTCAAAAACACTACATTATAACAACAATTTAAAAACAAACTTAATAAATTTTCATACAATCATTTCCTTAGCATCAATTGCACTTAAAGTATTTGTCAAA